GCGTCCGGCCCAGCGCCGACACCGCCCACATTCTGCCCTTTAGAAGTACGGTGAGCCGCTAGCGGCGACAATGGCGAAAGAGGAGACGTTGGAGCACCTAGACGGAGATCGGGCCTGAGCGATGCCCGGACGTGGTTTCAGCTCTTATCCCGCAGTAGGGGCTGGGGCGGGGGAGTGGAGCAGGCTCTACTTTAAAGGGGTCCAGGGACCAGCAGATGGCCGAAATGGTTGAGTCCCAGACTGGGCTACTCAAATTTACGCCAGGCGCGTGTGCGTGCGTACCCAAGATCCCAAGAGGAGAATGGAGGAGAAGGGATTGCGGCGTGGCCATCCCCCTTAGGGGGTAATTTGTTGCTTTCTGTTTCTCTGCCTCTGCCTTTCTGGCAAACATAGATGCCCTATGTGTAGCAAAAACCTATCATAAAAAAGGTAGGGGGCGGGGACCAGCAGTTAGCGTAATGGCTATGTCGCTAGACTTCCACGTAGTCGACCACGGTTTGAGTCCTGGACCCGGTGGCTTAAACTCACGCCGGGCACGTGTGCGTGCCCAAGATCCAGAGAGAATGGAGAAGGGATTGCGCTTTCTGTCTTTCTGGTGAGCGCAAACGCCCTATAGCAAAAACCTCTAAAAAAAAAAAAAAAAAAAAAAGGGCATCCAGTCAGGATAGAGTGGTCCGAGCAGGGCCAATGGGTTCTCTCCCGTTTCCCTTTCCAGGATTCAGTCACCCTTCTCCCAGGACTGACCAAGGGCTCCGTGCCCTTTACAGTGCCAGTAGAAATCTTCTCTCCTCACCCCTATCACGAGTCCTACACTAGTCTGGGAGAGGGGAAGCCCGCGCTGTCCAGATGGCCCCCCAGAGAGAACCACGGAAGGCTCTGGGGAATACTTTCAGAACCGAGCTCTCTTTAGGACCCAGGGGAAGTAATTTGCCCCACGCCCATCCCTTGGGTGAGTTCCTGGTTTTCGTAGAACCGTCACAGGAGAGGTGGTATTGGCGCCTGTACCCAGTTACCCAGGCCGGAAGCCCCTGGTGCCCTGCTCTCAGGTAGGCCTGGAAAAGGGCAACAGTGCTTCTCTCGAACCAGAGCTGCAGGATAATACCCGCTAGTAAAGGGCCTGGCGACCCCTGCGCAGGTGATGGTACCTGACCCAAGCAGAAGTGGGGTGGAGAGATGGGAGGGGTTGGTCCCTGTGCTGTGGGGACTATACCTTCAGCGCCCGAGGGCACATGCCCAGGTGAGCAGATGGACTACTCTCCTCTCTTCCCCAGGGCTTCCTTTCATATCAGATAATGAAACTGCACCGGAAGTCCGTGCTCAGTTTCTTCCATGGGTGCAGACCACAGGCCCCAGACCGAGAGGGCATTTTGCTAAAGAAGAGGGCCCGAAACACCAGCTACCAGCGCCGCTGGTTCGTCCTCCGGGGAAATCTCCTTTTCTACCTGAAACACCGGGGAGACCACACACCCCTGGGCCTCATCCTGTTGGAAAACTGCCAAGTGGAGCCCCATCTTAAGGCCACAGAACCCTATGCCTTTACCATCCTGACCCCTGGGGTAGAGGGCAGGAGTGGGCGGGCCTACAAGCTGGCTGCTGAAAACCAGGAGGCACTGGGCGCTTGGCTCAGGGCCCTAGGTATGGTGAGCTGCAGGCGGCTGGCGGTGCTGCTCCCTGCACTGGAGGCCCAGTACCTGGAGCTGTGCCAGGCAGCTGGCCATGAGCCCACCTCATCCCCAGAGTGCTGTGGCTATCTGGCTACTCCCAGCACACCGTCCACCTTCCAGGAGTTGCATGAGCGCTTTGGAAAGGAAATTCGGGTGCTGCAGGTGGAGCATAGAGGGCTCCAGACGGCTAGTGACAATGGAGGCAGCAGATTCCAGGCAAAACTGGAACAGGAGCGCAACCAGTTTGTTGATGAGTGACTGAGATTGGCCACATGCCAGGAGATACCTGCCTGCCAAGAGCAGCAGACTGCTTCAGCAGAGACCCAGATCCTGGATCCCTTCCATCCTTACCCTAACCCTTTCCTCATCAAATAATAAGACAGGAGACAGGCCCAGGTACAACAGCAGGTTCTTTTCCGGTTCCTCAAGCGCCGCACAGGGTGGGGGCAGAGACAGAAAAGAATGTAAACATTGGGTTCCACCCCCTGGAGCTCAATGGAAGACCCCTTACTCAGAAAGGGGCTGGAAGGAAACAAGGGGCAAGATGAGGGTCCTGGTGAGACAAAGCAGGGGATGCCTGAGAATACAGAGCAACGTGGGTGAGCAAGAGAGAAAGCAGAAGGGCAGTGGGCGGGGAAATGGGGGACATTTCCTATTCCAGTGCATGTCCCCTTAAATAAACCAGAGTACAAGAGCATTGTGGACATATAGAACCAAAGGACAGAAGACAGCATGAGCACCCCCACCCCATGCCGACTGGGTCCTCTGTACATTATAACAGATGTCCAGAGTAGAATGAGCTTTGGCCCCCAGCCAGGAATTGGGGGAGGGGGGACAGGCAGGGCTGAAGAAGGGAAAAAGGAACCAGCTCCACCTTATGGGTAATGGGAGCCACTGGAGCGTAAGAATCTGCAAACTGCTGACCCCCATCACCAAGAGTCACCCCTGTGACAAGAGGCCAGTCAGGACAGCACCTGGGAGGGGACCCCAGAGAAAACTGAGGCAGGTGTGACAGAGACCCCAGGTGGGCCCAACTGAAGATGAGAGGCTCCAGGCTTGCTGCCGGCTGCCACAGGGAAATGCAGCTGTCCCATGTACTGTGGCTGTCCTGGCTGTGTGGGGATCAGCAGCTGGCAAGGAGATGGGGACTCAGGCCACTTTCCTCAGAAAGAGGGACAGTCTGCAGAGGGGCAGGGGGCAGCACCCTTGGCCAGGCCTGCTCTTGGCTGAGGGATAAAGAAGGGACCACGCAGGTTAGCCCAAGGGCAAAGGTCAGAAGTAAGCATCCTGCCGGGCCTCAGCTGCAGAGGACTTGTCACCACCATCATTGGGGGCTGGGGGCCCATCTGCCTTTTGACGTATTGAGAGCTTCCGGCCATGGGCCTTCTTCTCCTGCTTCTGCCGCTCCTTCTCCTGCTTCTGCCGCTCCTTCTCCTGCTCCTTTTCCCACTTCTGCCGCTCCTTCTCCTGGCGCTCCCGCTCTTTCTCCTGTTTCTGCCGTTCCTTCTCCCGTTCTTTTTCTTGTTTCTGCCGCTCCTTCTCCTGCTTCCGGGTCTCCTTGCTGGCTCCCAAGGGGGTGCTATTGCCAGTGGGTGAGGGCAGGGATGGGTGCAGTCCCTCAGCAGTGACCACAGGCCCTGGGATAGGCCCTGCACTGGCCCTGCGGGCTGGAGGGGGTGGGGATGGGGCCCCTCCAGCTGCCCGGGAGCCTCTGCTTTTGAGGCCAGGAAGGCTGAGGAGGCTGGAGGAGGGGCCCAGGGGTGGCTGCTGCCGTCGGCGCTCCTCATGGATGGCCCGGGAGCCATGCAGTCTCCGTGAGGGTCGATATTGTAGCTCCCCTCGGGTTTCGCGCCACTTCTTGAGCTGGGCTGCATTTTCCCGCTCAATCAGTGCTTCTGTCACGGGGAGATTGGTCACCTGGACATAAAGGAAATGGGTACCAGGATGAAGGTGGGTGTGGGGATGGGCTGAAGCAGATGGGGGTGTGCTGAGGCCCAAGGCCTACCTCATGCACCAGGAAGTCCTCCTGCATGCACTGTTGGGGCAGGTTGCGCAGCTGCTCCATGGTCTCATACATGCCTTGGCAGGCGCGCAGCTTCTCCACCGAGCCCAGCGTGTGTCGCAGCAACACCAGGGCCACCCGGAAAATGATCTTTACACCTACAGGGTCCAAGAGAAGAGCATGGGAATCAGGCTTGGGATTTCGGCCTGTCCCATTTAGCCCCATCCCCATCTACTGCCAACCTTACAAGATGAGGAAACTGAGGCCCTGGGAGGGAAATGAGTTGTGGGTTTTACGTTCCTGGCAGAGAAAGCAGGCTCTGGTTGGTGGCAGAACCAAGACCAAGCCTCAGTTATTCCAGGCCCCAGACTGCTTACAGTAGAGTCTTAGCCTAGCAAATATCTATTGCCCATGGGTCACCAGAAACATGACAGGACCCTCTGGCAGCCACCAAGGAAACCCCTGTCCCCTTGTGGCCTGAAGAGTCACAGAAATACCTTCACAGAAAAACATGTCCCAGACACGCAGCACTGAAGCCCAGGGCAGGGTGCGGGCAAAGATGCACATGAACCACTCTGTCATGTACAGCACAGGGTCGATGCGCTGCCGCCGCAGGTGCCGATGTGCCAGTGGGGAGGCCCGGCGCAGGAGTGCAAAGAAGATCTCTCCATCCAGCTGAATGGCTTCCTGGAGGGGAATGATCCATGAGAGAGGCCACAGCCTGCTGTGGCCCCCAAGGGGTAGAACCAGCCCTGATACAGGGATCCTCACCTCAGTGGGGAAAGGAAAATGGAGAGGGGCAGAAGGACCAGAGTGGGGCAAGGTGAGGACCTCCCTGCAGCTTTGGGGAAAAGTCACAGCCCCAGAAGTACCCAGCCTCCAAACACTCACCAGCCCGGCACTGTAGTAACCTGGGAGGTACTTGTCGCAGATTTGCACCAGGCACCAAAAGGCTTGCTGAGAAGGGCAAGAACAAGGAGGGCGAGGTGGGTGGGGCCTGAGGGGCAGGGAACAGGGAGCTCCCCATCACCACAGCAGGCTGTGATCCTCCCACCCACTTCTGAGCAGGACCAGGTGTGCTGACCTCAGCAGGCATGTGCATGAGCAGCACCGCAGCCACTGGGGCCTGAGCCTGGCAGTAGCCTTCATCAGGCCGGTAGATGGTGTAGGCCTTCAGGATCCGGTACAGGTCCTGCTGCCTGTGGAGAACACGCAAGCCCATGAGGGTTGGGCTCTCTGCGCCAAACCAAACCTGGCCCTACCAATCCTGGCCCAGACCCCTTTTACATCCAGCTCCCGGCTAATCTCTGTCTTACCACCACACTCTTCCCCACCTTCCTAGTCCTGCCTACAAGTGTAAGCCCAAAGTTACACATAATCAAAGCGCTCCAGGTCCCAGGCTTCCACGCTTGGTTGCACACTCCATGTTCCCTACTCAATCCCCAGCACAGGCTGTGCTCTCTCCCTTCTGCCACCATCCCATAAACCTTCAAGGTCATGTTTCTCTGGGAATCTTTCAACATCCACAGCATCAGCCCTCTGTTAGCACTGTCTGAATGTTTTTATCACCCCAAGGCAGGAGCTCTCCCAGGGCAGGGCCTGCCTTATCTGTCTCACTGGATTTCATCAGTTCTTCCAGCACGTCCAAACGGTCCTAGTTCATGGTGAAGGCTTGCAAGCCAGCGCTGCCTCAGACCCTTCTCTTGTCTCTGCATCCAAAAGAATAAAATCTCTGTCCTAGACCTGTTCCTCTTCCTAGAAGGTGCCCCATCACTGTATCTGGGGCTTCTATCTACTCAGCCCCAACTCAGAACAGAGAGCCTTCCTCACCCCCCATGACAAAGCACCAAATCTGATGCTACCTCCTGAATTCATTCACTCTGTTCCTTCTCTTCACCTCCACGCCTACTTCACAGCTCAGACCTTCATTTCTTGCCCAGAAAACAAGGACTTCCCAGATCCTCTCCCTGCTCTAGTCTCTCACATACTCCTGTCCAAGCCTAAGATAACTTCTCCCCAAATCCAGTCATTTGGATGCGATCTTCATTTTTGTTTTACTTGCATACCATCCCTAACAGTATTTGCTTGTATATTTTTTTCCACTTTATGAAAGCATCCATGAAATGACAGGTTTGATGTGCTGGTTATTTTACCTAATACATATTAAAATAAATATGTGGCTTCCACAAGCTCCCACACTACATCCACCCACCTGCCTGCTTCTGTGTGTCCCTGCCTTCTCTCTGTTGCTATGGGTGAACTGTCTATGATCCTGGCCAAGCACAGTCTTTCACTTCCAGCCCCTCTCATCTACACAGACCTTCACTCTGGCAACCCTCCCATTTCTCCTGCATCATCACTCTTTCTCCCTCTACTAGGTCATTCCCATTGGCATACCAACATGCTGTCATTTATTTTTTTAAGTGTATTTATTTGATTCAAGAGAGAATACTGGGTATGCACATGCACACGAGGGCAGGGTGGAGGTGTGCCAACCTCAACAGGGTCTTGTCACACCATGTATGCAACCAGCATGCTTTCAGGTCAACTTCGGTTCTGAACCTGCAGCCGGCCATATGGCCTCTAACACTGCAGTTCAGTACTTTACTGCTTGTGCCACCAGGCTGGGCCATGCTGTTATTTCTTCTAACTTAAAAAGTCTCTTGACCTCACATTCCCCTAAAAATACCACCATGCTACTTCTTTCCTTACCTATTCAGCAAAACTCCTCCAGAGTATAAACTTGCTGTCTTCCATTTCCTTTCTCCCACTCTCCATCAGGTTTTTACCTACTATTCCACACAAAACTGCTTTCATCAAGGTCACGAATGACCTCTACGGTGTTCAATTCAGAGGAGAGTTTGCAACCTTGACTTTACTCGGCCCTTCAGCAGCTTTTTTTTTTTTTTTTGGAGAGGTTTTTGCTATAGGGCGCGTGCGCTCGCCAGACAGACAGAGAGAGACATAGAGACAGAAAGCGAGAAATCACCCTCCGGGGGGATGGTCATGCCGCAATCCCTTCTCCATTCTCCTCTCGGGATCTTGGGCATGCACGCTCACGCGCCCAGTGTGAGTTTAAGCCACCGGGTCTGGGACATGAACCACGGTCGACTATGTGGGAGTCCAGCAACATAGGCATTACGCTAACTGCTGGTTTCCAACCCTTCAGCAGCTTTTTGCACATCGATCCCTGCTCTCCCAGTTTTCCTCCAACCTTTCCAGCTTCTCATCTAGTCTCCTTTACTGGTTCTTTCTCATCTTCTCATTCTCAAAACGTGGGAGTTGCAGGGCTCAATCCTCGGACATAATCTTTATGTATTTATACTTGCTGCCTTGGAGACCCTGTCCTGCCTCATGGGGGACATTTAGTTCCTCTATCAGTTGACTACTCTCAATTTCCAGTGTATCTCCAGTTTGAACTTCTCCCCTGAAATCCAGGCCTGTATATATTGTTCATCCGACCTATTTACACCTCCAACTGTATGTCCAGTAAGCTTTTTTTTTTTTTTTTTGAGAGATTTTCACTGTAGGGTGCGTGCGCTCGCCAGACAGACAGAGAGAGACATAGAGACAGAAAGCGAGAAATCACCCCCCAGGGGGGATGGTCACGCCGCAATCCCTTCTCCTCCATTCTCCTCTCGGGATCTTGGGCACGCACGCACACGCGCCCGGCATGAGTTTTAAGCCACCGGGTCCGGGACACAAACCGCGGTCGACTACGTGGGAGTCCAGCGACATAGCCATTACGCTAACTGCTGGTTCCCTCCAGTAAGCTTTTAAAACTTAACATTCCTAAACTCATGGACTCCCCAAACCTAACTTTCCCCCAGTTTTCGTATCAGTAAGTAGCAACTCTTCTTCAGGCTTCTCGGGTCTTAAAAACCATCCTTTTTTTGCCAGGGGGTGGATGGATTCAATGGAAGAGACAGAAACGGGGGTGCTGGCAGATGTGATGGTTAAAGGTACTGGATTCCCACATGGCCGACCATGGTTGGTGTCCCGGACCTGATGGCTCACTTTCTTGCTTTCCCTTTCTATCTCTATCTGGTCAAATTAAAAAATAATAATAACAAATGGAATTAAATAAATAAATCTTTTAAAAATGAGACGGGGACAGAAAGTGAGAAATCACTCCCTCCCAGGAGGGATGACCAGACCACAATCCCTTTTCCTCCCTTCTCTCAGGATTGGGGGCACACAGGCTCATGCACCCAGTGTTTTTCTTTTTCAATTTCTTTTAGAATTATTTATTTATTTAACTTTGTTATTATTATTTCTTAATTTGACCAGAGAAAGACAGAATGAGAGAAAGGGAAAGGGAGAAAGCAAGCCACAAGGTCTGGGACTTGAACTGTGGTCGGCCATGTGGGAGTCCACTGTCTTAACCACCACACCACCTGCTGGTCTCTCCAGTGCCCAGTGTGATTTTCTTTTCTTTTTTTCTTTTTTTGTTTTTTTTTTTTTTTAGAGGTTTTTGCTATAGGGCACATGCACTCTCCAGAAAGACAGAGAGAGACAGAGAG